GGTGGCAGGTCGTCGGTTGTGATGGTGTGGAATGCGGATTGTGTCGAGTAGAAGGTGGCTGGGGCGAGCGGGGGACTGATGGTGGGGGATTTCCTATACTAGCTTTTCTACTCCGTCTCTCCTTCTTCCTGATTTAGTGGCCTCCGGTTCGTTGGGCAGGGACTGAACTTTCTGTGAGATGGCGTTAACAGGTTTGGCGTGGTTACTCACAACGCGATCGCATAGGGCAGTGATAGGGATGTGATTGTGTCCTACCAAATCTCTTCTGGTCAGTGTGGCTTGCCAAGAGGTTATCTTAGCACGGGCTATGAGGAGGCGAACGTGCTACTCCCGTAGGAAGAGGCAGGGGCTAAGTTTGGACTCTACAACGGTGGAGCAGATGGATCATGGGATCGCAAGAGTGGAGCGCTACGTGTTGGATTGCACAAACTGAGATTTCAAGCATTTCAAGGCGGCTTCACGCAGCGACGGGATCTCCAGTAATTCTTGAGGCATGACCTAATTTTGTTATTGTTTTTTTCTTGATACGGGAACTTCTTAGAAGGTAATTTCTTGGATGGTAATTCTGATTTTTAGTTGATCTGAATCGGTAGTTCGTAATTTTTCTTGTTGATTTTGTGATCTGTTTTTAGAAGCGTTATGGTTTCTCTCGTACACAATTGGTTGTCGATTAGTTTTTTACTTAGTATTTTATGACTCAATTAATTGTCAATTTGTTTTTCTACTTAGTATTCCCGATTTACTGTCTGAGCGATTTCTTGAACCTTGGGTTCTGAAAATCAAAGTCGTAAGTCCGTTCGGACATCGGAATTGATTCCCTATTCTATTCCCTATTCGATTCTCAAATCTTATTTAATTGTATTTTCAATATTATCTTCATCGCGATTGATTTCCTGAATTTCCTGAATTTAATGCTTAAGTCATGATTCAAACTTCTTTTGATTCTGGATTTACTGTCTGAGCGTTTTCTCTTATTCCCATCTTACCTCTATCTCGATGGATTTTCTGAATTCGATGCTAATTAGTTTTTACTCAAGTAGTTAGTCTTGCAATGGAGTCTCAACTGTGATGTTGTGAGATCGGGGTCAGAGGTGCTGGAGTGGATATCTCCTTTAGGGTTGGAGTCCCTCCCTGCGAGGGTTACACAAGGTGGGTGGTGTGACCTTTGAGAGGGTAGGGACGGTATTGAGGGTTTGTCCTTTTTTGGGTCACGCTGATTTTCGGGTCGGATCAGCTATGGCGGTTGGGGAGAGAGGACAAGGGGTGCTGACGTCAGTAGGGTGAGAGTTGAGAGGGTTGTTCCACTTGGAGGGGGTGGGGCAGGAAGATAGGGGGATCTTTTGCTCTGCGAGGGCATACTCTACGGACTATGGTATGCGACTGAGGGAGCAGGAGGGGTATCCTGGGGGCTGTTTTAAACTGGGACGGAGAGGTGAGGGGGCGCCTTCCGCGGAGGAAGTAAACAATCAGGGGGTCGTTTTTTAGAGGAGGGGAGTAATCTTTTTGGCTCGTGTGACCCCTTTTATATGTATCCGAGACTTCAATAGGTGCTGAAGTTTCCATGGGGAGAGAGGGTTGTTTTTCTCCCTCTCTTCCCCTCTCCCTGTGGGAATAGTGGGCGTTTAAATGTTCATGTGATTTTTCAGGATTTTGTGTTCTTGATTTTTCTTAATTTTTTGAAATTCTTGTTAGTATAATTTTAGTTGACGCCGAATAGCAGGAAGGGGAAGATTGGTCCTAAGGTTGCTAGGCAAGTGTGGTGGGTACGCGGGCAGAGGAGGGATTAGTGTTCAGGGGGTAAGCCTAATTAGAAGGACGGGGTGGGGTGACAATGGTCAGTGCTGGAGCGTAGGTGATCTGTAACCAGGGGTGGAGCTTGAGACTATTGGAGCTATGCCGAGGGTGGAAGGCATAACCATCTTGTTCAACGCAGCTGAAGCCGGGGCAGTGACCCTGTAACCTTGTTTTTTTTTTAGCTAAGGAAGTTGTCGAGGGAGGAAGGCACTTCCTGACCATCAGAATCAGCTTGGTCGGTACGGGGCAGTTGGTGTTGCCCTGTCATCCTAGCAGGGGGGGTATGAGACCTAGCGAGTTCTGGTGGGAGGACTAAACATTTGGGCTACAGTATTTCCTCTGTGGTGCGAGGAGAGAGCTGAATTGTTGGTGGTTTTTGTTTTCCTCTCTTCCTGTTTTTTAGGCCAATTAGACTCTTCTCGTATGTTCCTAGTCTAAGTTCTTAAGAAATTTTCTGATGGGTTTCTGCCTATGATCAGGGAGATTGTGGATAGAATGTTAAGGGGGAAGGAGAAGGTGAGAACTGAAAGATGGGAGGAAACAAGGAGGGTTCAACATGGGAGGGGACGTCTGTCTAAGTAAGTAGGTCAGAAGGACAAAGTTGGGACGACGCAGACCAGTGCTGGAGCTTTTGCTTTGTAACCTGGGGGAGCAAGAGGTCTATGGAGTTATCTCGAGGGAGGAAGGCATAACCAGTTTGTCCGACGTAGCTGATGCCGCAAGCTTTTCCCTGTAACTTACGGGCGTGTGGCTAATCGAGAGTGTTGAGGGAGGAAGACACTCTTGGCCGTCTGAACAGGGCTGGTCGGTACTGGGGAAGTTTGAGTTGCTCTGTAACTCTAGCATAGGGGGGTATGAAATCAGCTGAGTTCTGGTACGAGGACTAAACGCTTGGACTTAAACCACCAGTACCTCGCCCAACTATCGGTCGCGGGCCTTCCCGTATACGCGCCGCAGCCTTAGGGGGGTCGACCGAGGGAAGGCCCGGTCGTTGCTGAATGGCCGGGCTCCGTGCTTCCAGGAATGACACACACTGGAAAAAAGCAAAACGAACAATAGCAAAAGATAAAAAAAACGAACGAAAGCAAAAAATAAAAAAACGCTCGAAAACAAAACGACGTGAGAGAGAGAGAGAGAGAGAGAGAGAGAGAGAGAGAGAGAGAGAGAGAGAGAGAGAGAGAGAGAGAGAGAGAGAGAGAGAGAGAGAGAGAG